CCTTTTGACCCTCAAGAGGAGGGTAAACTTGGATTTGTTGACTGTCTGTTAGAAAGAATTTGACTGCCGGTGTTTGCTAGTAGAATCTATACATGCTGGATGTATTGAGGCTACAATGTCACAGTGAAATTTCAAAAGCTAAATTTGGTTAAGAAGGTGTATGTTCCTTAAATCGTATATAATTTCTATGTCATTCTCTACTGTCAGTATGTTACATGCTAACGTATGCCCACTGCAGTGGCTGCTGCCAGTGCATGTTTGGTGCAGTTTTGGCCTGCCTAATTGTTACAGGTGGCAGCTCTCTATTGCAATTGCAGCCTGTAAGGCGTTGCGTAGGTAAATGGATGAGTGCTTACCTATTCTGTCTTGCAAATAGTTGTTGCTACTACGTATGATGGAGCTTCCATCTTTAATCTGAAACCAAGACACTAACTCGCGCCATCTCGCGCAACTTTCATAACGATCCCAACGAACATTCTTTTGAGAAGGTTCCTGATACCATCCTGTGCATTCCACTGTTTGCGGCGTGTATGTGAACACATTTGGGACTAACAGGTTTACTAGAATCCACCACTCCACCACAGAGTCACCGCAGTAGACGTAGATGAGCGCTGTCGCTCTGCGGCACTTGTTAGCTCATCTGACATAGTCAGATGCAGCTTGTAGAATCGCCATGATCTCCGTCCGTCGTCCGTCCGTCCGTCGCGGGCGTCAACAGTTGGCAGCAAATCTTAACGCTCGACGTTACCGGTCACGCATATTCGGCACATCGGGGGGATCGTCAAAACGAGTTGGGATGTCGAAGCTGGAGCGTCAAGGTCAAAGGTCAAGAGGTGTAAAAGAAGGGGAACATTCACTCCTTAACTTAAGGTATAGGGAGGAAATGCAGAATTGCGCGGCACAAATCTAAACGGCTCACCTAGGCTCGTGATAGTCGGTGTATAGCATCATGGTAGGAAAAGCCATCACTGTGCCGAAATGGAGGTCACAGGTCAAAGTCAATGGGCAAGCAGGGCAGATTTTAGACATTTCTGAGGACATGGTCTGACGGAGCGATGAAAAACTTTTTTGTTTCAGCGGTGACCTAGCATTTTATATGGCTTTATTGAAAGGACCATGAAATGTACCTTCTGCTGACATGGCAAAGAGTAAGTGTTGGATAACCTTTTGAATCCTCAAGAGAGGGTTAAACATGGATTTGTTTACTGTCTGTTAGAAAGAATTTGACTGCCGGGTTTGCTAGTAGAATCTATACATGCCTGGATGTATGAGCTACAATGTCACCAGTGAAATTTCAAAAGCTAAATTTGGGTTGAAGAAGGTTTATGCTCCTTAAATCCTATAATTTCTATGGCATTCTGTACTGTCAGTATGTTACATGTAAGCGTATGCCACTTGCCAGTGGCCACTGCCAGTGCATGTGTGGTGGTACTGTGCTAGTTTTTTGCCTGCGTTAATTGCGTTACAGGTGGCAGCTCTCTATTGCAGCCTGTAGGCTTGCCGTAGGTAAATGGATGAGTGCTTACCTATTCTGTCTTGCAAATAGTTGTTGCTACTACGTACGATGGGAGCTTCCATCTTTAATCTGAAGACACTTAAACGTACGCGCATCTCGTAGCAACTTTCATAACGATCCCAACGAACATTCCTTTGAGAAGGTTCCTGATACCATCCTGTGCATTCCACTGTTTCGGCGTGTATGTGAACACATTTGGGACTAACAGGGTTTACTAGAATCCCACAAATCCACCACAGAGTCACCGCGCAGCAGACGTTAGATGAGGCGCTGTCGCTCCGCGGCACTTGTTTAGCTCATCTGACATAGTCAGATGCAGCTTGTAGAATCGCATGAGCGTGCGTCCGTCCGTGCGTCGGTCCGTCAGTGCCGTGCGTCCGTCAACAGTTGGCACAAATCTAAACGACTCGACGTACGGATTCGAAAGTCGCGGACGTGGGGGGGGGGGTAATCCGAAAACGAGTTGGGATGTTGAAGCTGGGGGTCAAAGTCAAAGGTCAAGAGGTGTAAAAGAAGGCGAACATTCCATCCTTAACTTAATGTATAGGAGGAAATGCAGAATTGCGCACAAATCTAAACGGCTCGACCTAGGCTCGTGATAGTCGGTGTATAGCATACATGGTAGGAAAAACCATCACTGTGCCGAAATTAGAGGCTCACAGGTCAAAGGTCAATGGGCACAGGGCAGATTTAGACATTTTCTGAGGACATGGTCTGACGGAGCGATTGAAAAACTTTTTTGTTTCAGCGGCTGACTACCATTTTTATGGCTTTATGAAAGGCACCATGAAATGTACTTTCCGCTGACCATGCGAAGAGTAAGTGTCGGATTACCTTTTGACCCTCAAGAGGAGGGTTTAAACATTGATTTGTTTCTCAAACTGGCTTGGCGAGTACCTTGTGGTTTGTGGAAAGCTCCATTTCACAGTGAAATTCCACACATAACTCTTACTTGAACAACGCTTACTTAGGAAATAATGAGATGACTTATATATGAGATTCTGTAGTGTACATTATGAATAGTTGGAATACAGTCACTAGCACTCGAATAATTACCAGGAGTGCAGGCTGCGGATTTCCCAGACTTAATTTTCTCATAAAATTTGGCAACAATATAGATGCAAGTGTGTACGCTTCTTGAGCTTATTCGGTCCACTAATCACTGGCCTACCTTGTACTGAAATTAGTTTACAGATATTTGCCTATCGTATTGCCTGTAAATTGTAATCTTGCACGAGCTGAAGAGAGAAGGTGGTGGAGAAGGAGGATGGGAGAAGCTGGTGGAGGAGGAGGGGGAGAAGCTGGTGGAGAAGGAAGAGGGGAGAAGGGAGCTGGTGGAGGAGGAGGGGGAGAAGGGAGAAGCTGGTGGAGAAGGAGGAGGGGGAGAAGCTGGTCGTAGCTTCCTCCTTCTCCCCCTCCTCCTTCTCTACCAGCTTCTCCCCCTCCTTCGCCCCTTCCTCCTCCACCAGCTTCTCCCTTCTCCCCCTCCTCCTCCACCAGCTCCCTTTTCCCCCTCCTTCTCCCCTTCCTCCTTCTCTACCAGCTTCTCCCCTTCCTCCTCCTCCTCCTCCTCCTCCTGCCCCCTACTCCTCCTCCATCACCTTCATTCGATCTCCATCACCTTCTCCGCTCCTCCTCCTCTCCTTCCTACTCCATCACCTTCTCCTCCTCCTCCTCCTCCTGCCCCCTACTCCTCCTCCATGACCGTCTTCATTCAATCTCCATCAACTTCTCCGCTCCTCCTCCTCCTACTCCATCACCTTCTCCCCTCCTCCTCCTCCTCCTCCTGCACCCTACTCCTCCTCCATGACCGTCTTCATTCGATCTCCATCTCAGGGGCAGGTACGTTTATGTAAACACAGGGTACATGCTGAGAAGATACAGGTCTGGTACACTTGTGTATACATATACGTACCTCGGGTACATATCTGTAGTACCTGATACGACAACGACCCCTTCAGCTCAACTTAGGCTGTTGTTGCCTAGTTACATGAACAAATTCAGGTTTTCCTCCAGCATGCCACTGGCACTGGAATTGATTTTAGAAGGGAGTGACGAGTGTGATGCAAGCTGCCAGCCACAAGAATCAATGGCCGAAAACTTTCTTCAATTTATGCATAAGTGTGAAGTAAACTTGTTGCGTAAAAATTAAAATACACATTTTACTCCGACCTCATTCAAGTTCTCCCACTGGCACATTTCTCCAAGAAACGTACGCGGTGTAGGCGGAATGTGGAGGTGGTACAGTATATTAGCCTAATTATTAGGTAAGCGGTGTGCATGATGTAACATTCTAATCGTAAATACAATAATTCGTGTTTATTTTTTGAAAGGCTCAAGTGCCGTCTGTCCCTGTGCCGCAGAGCGCTATCTCAGTAATCAGTATCAGTCAGCAGTGGGCGATTTACAAATCGGCTTTGAGTTTGACTAAGCTGTAAGCACGGGCTCGGCCTTGGGGCAAATCGTATAATTAAATTATTAGCAGAAGTGCAGATCCCACCCATGAAGTCGTAAGTACGAACTGTCAAATCTGGTCACACAACGCATTTACACATATCTTAACATATATAATTATAAGTGGAAAATACATACCACCCAAAATAAGAACGGAAGGCTTTTTCCACGAACTCTCCTCGTTCGCCATGGTTAGTAAACCTGCCAGTAGATGTCAGTGTAACTTATAGGGACTGTGTCATAATCATGGAAATTGATGTCAGTAGAAACATTGATAAAAAGCCAACGTCAATGCATTGAAATACAAAAATAATAATTTCATTTATAAAAATATTACAAGTGAAACTGACGAAATTTGTTTTATGGTGACCGCGTATAAAATTTTAAAATTGTCACTTTGTTGCTCATTGAATATTTTTATGATTAGAGCACCCCTAACATCCGGGTACGTGTGCATCAAGCAGGAAAATGGCGTCAGTAAATGATGCAGGTTCTAGCCGATATAAAAAGAAACTCCAAGATTTACTTGTAAAAGAGCTGAAAAGCGAACTTGATCGACGTGGGCTCGATAAGGCAGGCGTGAAGACTGTATTGGTGCAGCGTTTGCAGCAGGTAAGTGACCTAACAATAACAAATAATTCGTACACCGGGAGAGCACGGCGCCATGGTTGTTGTGGCCCACCGTTTAACGTTTGCACTAGCCACTTGACACTTCACACTTGTGCCCCGGATTAGTTTAGCTGCGCACATATGCGAAAACACATTTTCGTTGTCTCAGACTATCATTGATCCGCTACGGGCGCAGTAGCCCGACCAGGCTTTACCGTCCTGTATAACTAAACTATAACTTGTATAAGTGAAGAGTATTGTCTCTGTCTAAGTAGTAAGTGTCTTGAGCCTGACTGGGCCTACGTCTAAACAGAGGAATTGCTCCGACCTGTGATTGGAGGATAAAAATATAATTCGTGGCGTTTCGTTTTTATTTCACAGTGGCTGGAGGTACGGTAGCCATCGTTCGTTGAAGCCCCTTTTTGGTGTTAGGGTTAGGGTTAGGTTTAGGGTTAGGGTTCTAGCTCATCTAAACTCTCAAATCGTGAATTTACTTCCCAAAGCGTTATTTCGAAATCTGGCGCCACCGCCGCCATCTTTGTCTCATTAAGTATGAAAGCGAATGGACTCCCGTACCCGTAGCCTCGAGACATTAAGATACGGCTACCGTACCCGTAGCCACTGCCTTTTTATTTTGCATACCCCGCGGTACGCTACATGACCGGTAGGAAAGTGTACTAACTATCATATGGCGTGAACAATTTGAGTTACATTTCTATAAATTCTAGCTATTAAATTGACTAGGTACGTCACGAATTTTCCATGGTAAAATTTGTAAAAAAAAAATTGCCATTTTTTTACATTAAAAGTAAGAACTAACGTAGCTCTAGTACTATAGCCCGCGGATCGCTGCCGCAGGGCTATAGTACATTCTGCCATAGATGTAATCTATCCAAATGCTCCAACTAGTCTGACCAAAAATTTATCCCCAAAACGCAAAATGATCGGGCTTTTTAACACTTATCTATCAACATGGACATCTCACCTATCTTTTTGAACACTTCCACAACTTTACACCATGTATTTATGCATTTATTCCTCAAAGTCTTAGCACTACTGGTGTTTCGTGTTCAAATGCGGTTGCTCTGCTTATGTGTGCATGCGTGACGTCACCCGAAATGTAGACAAAAGACATGGGCAGCTATGATTCAGCCTAGTACATTTCGGGTGACGTCACGCGTGCACACATAAGCAGAGCAACCGCATTTGAAAACAAAACACCAGTAGTGCTAAGACTTTTAGGAATAAATGCATAAATACATGGTGTAAAGCTTCGACATCCCAACTCGTTTTCGGATTACCCCCCCACGTCCCGAATATCGTGACCGTACGTCGAGCGGTTAAGATTTGTGCCCAACTGTTGACGCCCGGACGCACGGACGGACGGACGCACGGACGCACGGACGATCATGCGATTCTACAAGCTGCATCTGACTATGTCAGATGAGCTAAAAACGATGACCTGAAAATATAACCTGCAGATTAAACTGCAGATTTGACCTGCAATCTTTAACTTGCAAATTCTGTCATCCCTATTTAGGATAGGTGATATGTATACGTGATTTCTACTTGCCCTGGTAGATCAAATTAGCACTCCTGAATTCCACTTTCCTATCAAGGAAACAGTCCTGAGAACAGAACAATAGAGTAAATATATCAAGTCTGTTGAGGAAAATTAGACACTTCTTTAAAACATACACAGGAATACATACAATCCTATAGAAATCACACACAAAATTTGAAATGTAGAAAAAAGTAATGCTATCGTTTATCATAGAATTAAAGCTGCATTCTCCTAAAATAAGAACGTGACAAACTGGCAAGCGATAACATATTACTTATATTTTCAATAGTTACAATTAAGTCTAATAGTTTTACAAAATCAAGAATATATCACACAACTGTATACCTTGTGCGTTTTATTGAGCCATGCTGTCTGAGGTGGAACTTTATCAGCAACTACAATCTGCGAGAGAGTAAATGCAAACTTACTAAATTTATAGAGATAAAATATTTCAATTAATCTTAATGATATTTGACATCATTCCAGGTAGGTGATGACTGGGATAGCAACTCTATTTTAGCATACAATCGACTACATGTTAGAAAACTATGTAGGTAGCTGAAGCCTTATATTTAATAGCACATGTATGCTATTTTTACCTCAGATACTGAATCCTTCTCCAAGAGGTACTGAACTAGATTCCTTCCTATGAACCCACAACCTGTAACATAATTGTTGAAATTTATTGTGAATAGTGTGAATTAGGTGAAACCTAATTTGTCTACATGTTTTTATTATTCTATTTATTTAATGAACTGAACCTCACCTGAATGATCGAGTGTGTGTGCATTAGTAATTGTTATATTCAGTTTCGAATGAATTTGGTTGGTACAGTTTTTAATGAAACTTGACTGTCATTAATGTGGAATTACTAGGCAATATAGCGTACATAAACAGTGAGACTTTGGCAGTAAATACAGCTAGGTACCTGTGATACATCATACACATAACATGCCTGATAAACTAGTAAAACTACACTACTTTTCCACATGCAACAAACTTAATTACCTACAGAAGTGATAATACGGAAAAGTGCTCAATTCTAGTTTGGAACCCCTGAATATATAGTTCGCATATGTGCTAAACTAGGATTGGGCTCGAAATTGGCATCAACTTAGGCTGAAGGGGTCGTTGTCGTATCAGGTACTACAGATATGTACCCGAGGTACGTATATATGTATACACAAGTGTACCAGACCTGTATTTTCTCAGCATATCGCATATTATGTAGCCCTGTGTTTACATAAACGTACCTGCCCCTGAGATGGAGATCGAATGAAGACGGTCATGGAGGAGGAGTAGGGGGCAGGAGGAGGAGGAAGAGGAGGAGGAGGGGAGAAGGTGATGGAGTAGAGGAAGGAGGAGGGGAGGAGGGGAGGAGGAGAGGAGGGGAGGAGGGGAGGAGGAGGAGCGGAGAAGGTGATGGAGATCGAATGAAGGTCATGGAGGAGGAGTAGGGGGCAGGAGAGGAGGAGGAGGCAGGCAAGGATGGGAGAAGATAATGGAGTAGAGGGGAGGAGGAGAAGGAGGGAGGATGAGGGGAGGAGGAGGGGGAGGAGCAGAGAAGGTAATGGAGATTGAATGAAAGGTCATGGAGGAGAAGTAGGGGGCAGGAGGAGGAGGAGGAGAAGCGGAGGTGATGGAGATTCGAATGAAGGTCATGGAGGAGTAGGGCATAGAGGAGGAGAAGGAGGGCAAGAGGAGAGGGATGAAGGGAGGTGATGGAGTAGGGGGAGGAGAGGAAGTAAGAGGAAGGGAGGAGGGAGAAGGAGGAGGAGGGAGAAGGGTGTGGAGTAATGGGGAGGACGAAGGCAGGAGTGAGGGAGAAGAGGGAGAGGAGAAGGAGGAGAGGAGGAAGGGGGAGGAGAGAGCGGAGAAGTGATAAGATCGATGTGAGATGGTCCCATGGAAGGAGTAGGGGGCAATGAGGAGGAGAAGGAGAGGAAGGAGGATGGAGAAGGTTTTTGATGGGAAGTAGCGGGCAGAGAGGGGAGGGAGGGAGGAGGATAAGGAGGAGGAGCGAGAAGGTGATGGAGATGACTGAATGAAGAATGTTCATGGAGGAGAATAGGGCAGGAGAAGAGGGAGAAGGGATGGAGTAGAGGGAGAATAGGAGGAGGAGAAGGAGAGAGAGGAGGGGAAGGAGGGGAGGAAGAGGAGTAGCGGAGATAGGTGATGGAGATCGAATGAAGAAGAGTCATGGAGGAGGTAGGAGAGGGGCAGGAGGAAGAGGAAGGATGAGGAAGGAGAGGAGGGAGAGAAGTATAGGAGGAGGGGGAGAAGAGGAGGAGCAGAGAGTGATGTAGATGCAATAAGACGGTTATGGAAGAGGAGTAGGGGGCCCAGGAGGAAGAGGAGTGAGGAGGACGGAGGAGGGAAGGGTAATCGAGTAAGGGAGGAGGAGAGAAGGAGAAGGAAGAAGGGGACGAGGACGGGGAGAGCGGAGGAGTGAGAGTGAGCGAGAAGGTAATGGAGATCAATATGAAGAAGGTCATGGAGGAGGAGGAGGAGGAGGGCAGGAGCGAAGAGCGGATGAGGAGAGAGGAGAGAAGGTGATGGAGATAGGATGAAGGAGGGATGGAGGGGAGAAGGTGAATGGAGGAGGTAGGATGGCAGGAGGAGGAGGGGAGGTGTTGGAGTAGGGGGAGGAGGAGGAGGAGGGGCAGGAGGAGGAGTAGGAGGCAAAGGAAGGAGCGAGCAGGAGGGGAAGATGTGTTGGAGTAGATGGTGGACGGAGGAGAGGAAGAAGGAGGCGGAGGAGGAGGGAGAAGGAGGAGGAAGGAGGGGAGGAGGAAGGAGGAAGAGGAAAGAGGCATGGAGGTAGAAGGAAGGAGGAGGAGAGGAAATAGGGGAGATAGGTAGGAGGAGGAGAGTAGAGAGGAGGAGGAGAGAGGGGGGGGAAGACAAGTGACTCGGAGGAAGGATATGGGGCAGAAGAGGAAGAGAAGGAAGAGGAGGAGAAGAAGAGGAGGAGGGAAGGAGAGGAGACAGTGATAGATAGGCAATGAGGGAGAAGA